TATATATATATATATATATACATTATATTTCTACATTTCTATATTTCTATTCTATCGACTATATCTTTTCTGTGTTGCACTGTATGATATTTCCTTTTCGCTGCAGACGGATACAGCCGAAGAAGAAGACAAAAAGATAACGCCGACAAAAGAAAGCAGCAAAACTGCAATTCAACTTTTTAAAGAAGTCGTCGCGAGGTCGTAAACTGCTGCAGCAAGAGGGAGAACAGCAGCAGCAGCAGCAGCAGCAGCAACTGCTGCTGCTGCTGCTGCTGCCACAGGGGTTTGCATTTTCCTGCACTCCGGCAGCTGCTGCTGCTGCAACAGCAACAGCAGCAGGCATTTTTGCTGCTGCCGCCAGCTGCATCTGCAGGTGAGGCGGACGCAGCACAGCCGGGGGGGGCGGAACATAGGAACAGCAGCAGGAGCGTTACAGCTCGCTGCTGCTGCTGCAGTAGCCGCTGCTGCTGCTAGACCCTACTCTTTTGAGGCCTGGCTCTTTCAGCTGCTGCAGCATTATCAGAAGGCGTAGCCTCTTAGCAGCTGCAGAAGCAACAGCAACAGCAGCAGCTGCGCCGCAGCAGCAGCAGCAACGCGTTGCTGCTGCAGCTGTCTACTTGCGCGGAGCTCAGCTCAAGGGAGCCGGGTATTGGCTTTACTGCTTCTGCTGGTGATTTCTGTAAATATGGTTGTGATCATAGAGAAGAGAGATGCAGGGATTAACCCTTTTTTTCTCAAGCAAGCAGAGTGCACGTACACCGCAGGAAGTTGCACGTACACCGCACGAAGTTGCACATACACCGCAGGAAGCTGCACATACACGAGAAGCTGCGCATACACCGCAAGAAGCTACACATATACCGCCGCAGCAACACATACACCGCAGCGAGCTTGTCACACGCCGCAGGGAGCAGCAGATAGATAGCAGGAACCTGCGTATACACCCCGTGCACGAGCGCACCCCGGCACTGCTTCTTCAGGCTGTGTGCGGCGCGGTCGGGGCTGACGCGCCCATTCGCAGCAGCAGCGGCAGCAGCAGCAGCAGCAGCAGCACCAACAACAGCTGGGACCTTCCGCCCTGCGTGAAATACCAAAGAAGACAGGCCCCTGCAGCAGCAGTAGCAGCAGCAACAGCAGCAGCGGCAGCAAAACAGAGACGCACGGCGCCTGCGGGCCTGTATGCTTGCTTGAGGCTTTGTACAGCAACGACAAGTGAAGGCAAGCAGCAGTAACTGCAGCAGCATCAACAGCAGCAGCAGCAGAAACACATCTATCTATAAAGTTTATGTCCTTGCGGAGTAGCTACAGCAAGGGCAATCGCAGCGCAGCAGCAGCAGCAGCAGCAGCAGCAAAGTAACATGGCTAGAAGGGTCTTCATGCTTCTTGATTCTCCATAAATAATACTTCATTTCATTCCTTGTTACAAAATACAAAATACGAATTCTAGGTGTCACTACAATAAAAGCAGCAGCAACAGCGCGTAGGGTGCGAGCGGAGAACGCTGACACAGCTCCAGCAGCTGCTGCTGCTGCTACTGCTGCTGCAGCAAAGGCTGCAGCAGCAGCAGCAGAAGAAAGGTAAAGGATGTTCCCATATGACGTAATGATTTAAGAAGTTGATTAGCGAAGAGGCCCCGCACTGAGGAATACCGCAGCAGCAGCAGCAGCAGCAGCAGCAGCAGCGGGAGCAGCGCAGGTAGCAGCAGCTGCAGCAGCAGCAGACTCCCGACCCAACGGACTGCAGCACTGCCTGCAACCTGCCCTTCCCTGCTGCTTCCTGAGTAGCATTTATCTGTCTCTCATCGCATTCTATTGTCTGTCTCTATCCGGTCTTGTATATTCTGCTGCAGCAGCACCCGCAGCAGCAGCAACGGTAGCAGCAGCAGCACTATTGGACTTCACCGCAGCAGCAGGACATTCGGACGCATACTTTGCCACAAGTTCTGCTGCTCCTGCGCGTTAGGCTGCAGCATTGCTGCCTTCTTTCATCCTTTGTGTTGTAGCTGCTCCTGCTGCAGCAACCCCCCACCGGTTGTTGCTGCTTCAGCGCTCTCTTAATCGCTTCTCCTGCTGCTGCTGCTGCTGCTGCTGCAGCGGCTGCGGCTTTCTCGAGGCTGCACGGGGGCAGACGGTTTAGCAGTCTGCACTGCATATCATTAGCTCTTGCTGCTGCTGCTGCTGCTGCAGTTGCTTCCGCATAGCAACTGGAAGAGAGCCCTGCAGCGCTTAAGAGCGGTCAGTCTGCTGCTGTTGCTGCTGCTGCTGCTGCTGCTGCTGCGTTCATACAAAGGCTGCTGCATGTGGGCAGGTTTTGTTGGCTTTCTCTCCTTCTCTATCCGTTGGAAAAAGCAGATATGGCTGCAATTCCTGCTGCTGCTGGGTGCCGCAGCAGCAGCCGCTGCTGCTGCTGCTGCTGGATGTTTCTGTATGAATACAACTTTTCCATGACTGTCTGCAGGTTCATCTCTCTTTAACATTTGCTGCGCTGCTGCTGTGCTGCATGCGTGCAGGTGAACAGCCCGTAGTTTGTCGAGCCAGCGCTCAGCAGCAGCAGCAGCAGCAGCAGCAGCAGCAGCGGTGGCGGAGTATCCGGAGCAGCAGGAATACTGGGTTCTTTTTATTACGCTATTGCTGCAGCAGCAGCAGCAGCTTCTGCCGAAGCTTTGACTAGCTGCCAGCAGCAAACAACTTCTTACCTGCCTAGCCATCTGCACTGCAGGGGCTGCTGTTTCAGGGGACCTAAGCAGCAGCAGCAGCAGCAGCAGCAGGCAGCTGGGGGCTCGCACTCCTCACTGACATCATCTCGAGTACATCAGGCGTAGCAGCAGCGCAGCATCAACAACGCAGACAGCAACAAGCAGCAACAGCGCCAGCAGCAGCAGCAACCCGGAGTCCCGTTTGCTGTGAAAATGAGTTCAGAGCAACACGAAAACGAACGCCCAGTAAGTAGTCACAGCAGCAACAGCAGCAGCTCGTGCTGCTGCTGCAGCATAGATATATGATAGGAGGCGTGGGGTTAATATATGCTGCTGCTGGTGGATTGCTGCCTTAGCTGGATGAGCTGCGGCTCGCTGCTGCTGCCGCTGCTGCTATACTGGGGCGTGTTTCGAGGCAGTTGCTGCTGGTAGTTGGCCGTCAGTGTGTGTTGCTGCTGCCGTTTTCTGCTGCTGCTGCTGCTGTTGCAGTCGGCGCCTCCTCTCTGCGCAAACAACTGCGGCTTCTACGGCAGCCCTGCGAACCGCAATCTTTGCTCGAAGTGCTATAGAGAGTTTCTGAAGGCGGAGAGTGCTGCTGCTGCTGCTGCAGCGACGGCAGCAGCTGCTGCATGCAGACGTACCCTGCCACAGCAGCAGCCAGAAGCAGCAGATGCTGCTGCAACTGCTGCACCAGAAGCTGCACCCGAGCAAACAGATGCAGCACAGCCGCAGCAGGCCCCTGCTGCGGAACCTGCGGATGCAGCAGCGGCAGCTGCTGTTGCAGCGACGGCAGCAGCAGCCGCTGCAGCAACAGCAGCCGTAGCAGCAGAAAGCTGCAGCGGAGAGCTGCAGCAACCCTCTGACAGCGATGTCGTTTCAGCAGGCTCGGCTCCCGCTGCAGTTTCTTCAGCGGCTTCAGAGCCTGTACCGGCAACAGCAGCAGCAGCAGCAGCAGCACCAGAAGCAGCAGCAGCGCCAGAAGCAGCTGCAGCGCCAGCAGCGGCAGCGGCCGCGCCGGAAGCAGCAGCGGCAACAACAGCAGCGGCTTCGTCTCCAGTTGACTCTGGAGATGCAGTCGCCCCGCCTTCGCCCGCCTCTGCGCCTGCGGGTACAGCATCTTCAGCTCAGAGCAAAGTGAGTGTGGCTTGGTTTCGGGTGTACAGACAGCTGGTGTCAGTGCATGGTTCTAGACCCTATTCTGGGGTGTATGTACACGTAGACACCACAACAAGGACCATTTCGTTTCTCTTTGATTGTCTCTGCAAATGACGGTATAGTTGGCTTCGGTTGTGTTACTGGGTTTGCTGCATGTTGCTGCTGCTGCTGCTGCTGCTGGTTTTGTTGCTGCTGTTGCAGGGGAAGGCGTCGCGTTGCCACAAGTGCAACCGGAAGGTGGGGTTGCTGGGGTTTGTGTGTCGGTGTGGTTTCGCTTTCTGCGGGGAACACCGATATGCAGATGCTCATGGCTGCCTGTTTGACTATAAGGCTTTTGAAAGGGAGCAGCTAAGAAAGCAGAACAACAAAGTTGTTGCAGACAAACTGCAAAAACTATAAAAACGACTTCTGTTTCACCTTCATGGCGTGGACGGAAGCATCAGCAGCAGCAACAGCAGCAACAGCAGCAGCAGCAGCAGGTCCAGCAACAGCAGCAGCAGCAGCAGTTGCAGCAGTTGCGTTTTCTCTGCGGACAGGACACGCCGATGCTAGAACAGCAGCGAGAGACAGCTGAGTGTTTCTGCATTCATTTGAACCCGAACGCGTTCTTTGCTGCAGTTGCTGCTGCGGACGCTGCAGTTGCTGCTGCTGCTGCTACAGCTGCAGCAGGGCACTTGGGGATCAGAGTTTGATTTTGCTTGTTCGTGGAATGATGCGGAGTACAAATATATATGAATATATAAACATATATTTATATATATTTATATATACATATTTATATATATTTATATATATTAATGTAAATGTAATATTAATATAAATATATATACGCCTAATATATATATATACATACGCCTTTATTTGGGGTGAGTAGTGTAGTGGTGCCGCTCCCCAAAGCAAAACGTTGCAGATAGCGCAGGGCAGCGCACCTGTTCTTTTTCTTCATTTTGTTTGTCTTTATTTCCCTTCAATTCGGCTTGTGTTGAGGATTTTGTACACATTGCACAGTTGGCGCGTCGCACTCAAGAGTGTTGTGTTTGTTTGGTTTTGTTTCGGCTTGTTTGTAGGTGTGTGGCTTGCTGTTGTGCGTATGTGTGTCTATATATACATATATATATATTAAATATATACATATGTACATATATATTATAGATATAATATATATCCTTGTATATATATATATATATA